TCAATGTTGCCTAGTATTAAGTTACAGGCAGGCCTTCCTGCAATGGCTCAAACCAGCGGTGCGAATCCAGTGTGCAGTCCGTGTACTCCAATCTCTCCTATGGATGTGAATAGTACAACAGCTTATGGAATGCCACCCCAGCCTGCGAATGGTTCATACTCAGTTCCACTTCCAGCGTCGGTACCTTACAGTATCCCCTTTTCTCCGATGTTACCAAGCATCGCTGTATCTGGACAGCCACAAAGCGTTAATCCCATGCAATATGTAAGTGTATATCTTTCCTTTTCTAAAATCTTCGGAAACTGGTTCCGCTGATTTCTTCTTTACCCGTTTGTTCAATCTTAAGTTCTGTCTTGCAGCAAGCGCCGGCCGCTGGTATCCCTGCAGCAGTCCCACCATCCCCACCTGTTGCACCAGCTCCTTCGACTCGCAAAGCACCGAATGGAAAGAAAGCGGAAACTAGTGCTGACGGCGAAAAGCCGAAAAGGGGACGTCCACGAAAAATCAAACGTTCAGAGAAGTATGTTATTGGATAGTCCAGCGTTGCTAGCAATCCACTGCATCATTAGACTTTTTTAAGGTGCCTAGACGAAGAATTGTGCGAAGAAGTCACAAATGGAATTGAAAAAGTGGGTTTTCTCCAAGTAGTCCACATCTTACAGTATATGCCTTCACCATATAATTGCTGTAATTGTCTTTCTTGCCTTTAAGTAGGCTTGTCCATCTCATTTGGAAGTTGTTGTCAAGAAATCAATTAATAGTATAGTCGTATAACAATAGAGACTTTTATAGCAAACTTCTAGCTGAAGTGAAGTGCAACGGTCTAAAAAATAGGGAAGTGTTGAATTCATAAACTTTACCATGTTCTTAATATGTTCTTGAACCATGATCCAATAAAGAAAAATGCGTTGAGCATTCTCTAAATGATAATATTAAAAAATGATGCCTTTTTGTGCAACTTTTTTTTTGAAGCGCTTTTGAAATTGTGTTTCAAAAAAGCGTGTAATGCAGTACCTCACTTGTTTTCGACCAATACGTCAGCTTTATGTAACAGTCGATTTTT